CTGCCTGACACATAATATGTGAGTACCATTATGACTGATCTTCTAGCTAGGACCATGTATTTGGACTAGGAGAAGGAGATAATGGGCTCCAAGTCAGAGGGGCCACTCAAGGTGCTGACTGAGAGCAATGCTTTGGACTAGAGATGCCATGATGCCAGGCATGGTGGGCTTTGAGGCAAAGGTGAAGTTGCAGCAGAAACACCTCCTACCCAAATTGTGAGAACAGTTTACAGAGGGGACAGAGAAAGTGGAGGGTGGGAGTCCAGGAGACATCTGGGATGTCTATGCAGCCAGAGTAGGGGATGTGGCATTTAAGCACTAGGAGGTAAGTCTCTTCTCCTAGATGTCTCCGTGATTCATGAGGTGGGATACCTGATGAAAATGGAACACAGACACATAAGCCTGGTGCAAGCAAAGCAAATTTGAGTAGAGGTAGAAGTGACTGGGTGCCAGTCAATGCCTGATGCCTGGTGTGCATCTTTATTGCACCCTCACAAGATTCAGGGTGGTAGGCAAGATGGTCCCATCTTACAAGCAAGAAAACTGAGGCTCAGAGAGCTGAGTTCCTGTTGTTAGGAAGTGACAGAGCCGAGACCTGGAGCCAACCTTGCCTGACTGACTTGGTCTTTTTTTTCAGAAGGCGCTCAGCTATAGCCTGGTGCCTGCTATTGGAAGCCCAGTGGAGACAGTAAAAGGAACAAGAAACAGAAATGATATTGTGAGGGAACTTGCCACCATTGTGGCCTGAGAGAGGATATGAGGGGTGGTTTTGTGGTGCAGCTAACAAAGTAAGCACAAGTGCAAGATGTGGGGATGGGGACCTTCAGCTACCCAGCTGTGGGGGATATCGGGTAAGGAGGGGAGCAGTGAGGGTTTCTTGGCCTGCCACGTGGGGGGCTGAACTTCCTGGTCAAGAAAGCAGGGAGGGAAGTGGCCTTCCATTTCTTCTCAGCAGGGGTGAAGCACCAGCTTGTTGCATAGGTGGGATGGGGGAGGTGTGGGGAGCGAGGAGAAAGTATTTTTGCTTCAGTGGCAGGAGGCCAGCTGCCACAGTTCAGCATCATGCCTCATTACTGTCTGTGGAGGCTGATCTCCCACCACCATGGGAGCAACACAGGATGTGAGGCACTGGTGGAAGAACCAACTGTGTCCTTCACACAGGCCACAAGCACTTATGTGAGTTTGGCGTCAATGTGAAGTGTCTTATTTGTTTATGGGTGTATGGTGTGACTTTCCATTATGGCGGACTCCATGAGGGCAGGGGTGGTATCTTTTTTTCAAGCTATGGTCTTAGACCAGGTTTCCTGAGAAATAGACTCTGAGGCTCATTTAGGAATACTCTTGGGAGCAATAGTTCTGAGAGCATGAAGGAAGTAGGACTGAGCAGAGAAAGAAGGTGGACTGTGATGGATCAGAACAGACCCTCAGCTAACCCAGAGGAGCTTGGAACATGGCTGGATGCAGGTCGCCCCCAGGAGCAGGAGTTGTAATCTTGGGCAAGACATCTGCTGAGTTATCAACTGGGAGCCATCGACAGCTACCCCCTATAGCTGATAATAAGGACCTCTGTCCTGAGAGGGGGTAGGTCTTCTTGGTGGCAACCTTAGCATCTGCTGCTGGTGTGTTCTTGTGCCTGGAACAATGCCTGGCACATGGTGATGATATGCTAACACATCAGCTAATCCCCATCACAGCTATGGGAGGCCAGTCCTGTCTTAAGCATTTTGTGTACACATTAACACTTTTTAACCTACCCCGTGTGTTAGGCACTATTATTATCCCCATTTTACAGATGGGAAAACTGAAGCCCAGTGGAGTTATATAACTTGCCTGAATTCACCACTAGTAGGTGGCAGAGCTGGGGTTTGAGCCCAGCATGCTCAGAATGCACACTTGAATCACTTTCTAAATTGCCTTCCCCTTGTGCTCTATGACATTCCTAGTGTGTATTCAACAAATATTTGTTGAGTAATTGAATGAGGAACCCATCTGGCCTCTGTCCTTTACTTCTTTCTCCCCTTTCTAGGCCTTGTGGAAGGAAGGAAGCAAGGGACTCTGCAGGGTGGGTGTGGGGGTGCGGGGTCAACAGATTTTTTTTTTTTTTTTTAGTTTAGAATGCTTTTAAAATTAAGTGTTAATTTTAATTCCAGTATAGTTACCATACAGTGTTATATTAGTTTCAGGTGTACAATATAGTGATTCAACAATTCCATATATCACTTGGTGCTCCTCACAAGTGCACTCCTTAATCCCCATCACCTATTTAACCCATCCCCCCACCCACCTCCCCTCTGGTAACCATCAGTTTGTTCTCTTTGGTTAAGAGTCTGTTCTCTTCTTTGTCTCTCTCATTCTGTCTCTCTGTCTCTCTTTCTTTTTTGCTCATTTGTTTTGTTTCTTAAAGTTTGGGCAATGGATTTGGGCTTCCTCCGAGGAAGGTGTAGAAACTGGGTGGGAATTGATTCCTAGGCCAAGAATGGCCCCTTAACTCTGTGGAGCCGGAAGGATTTCTGGGCCCTGGCAGACAGCTGGGACCCACACACGCATCTCTGATTCCTTCTTCCTTCTCTACAGAGTGTCCAAGTCAAGAGATGGACATTGTCTTCCTGATTGATGGTTCTGGCAGCATTGTCAAAAGTGACTTTAAGCAGATGAAAGACTTTGTCAGAGCCGTGATGGGACAGTTTGAAGGCACCAACACCCTGGTGAAGACTGGGTCCCCGAAGCCTGGGGAGTGGGGTGGGGGTGGCAGCTGCCTTGGGGAAGACCAACCTAGGAGGAAGCCTGGTGTTGCTGGGGGTTGGCTCAGTGGGCCTGTGCCTGATACTTGTGTCCTGGTGCATGGCTGATTTGAGCCCTGACCTGAGGAAATTCCCCCATGGCATTTAATATGTCCCCACATGGCCTAGGAAATACAGTTTTTTACTGTTTAGAAGCATTGAAAGGATTGCAAAAGTAGTTTTGCTGTGAAATTAGACTGAAGGTAACTTGGCCAAATAATTAATGATTTCTTTATTACATTTTCCATGTAACTCATGATTTATCTTATTATTTTATTTCCCAGTAATTAGTGTATATGTATGTAGAAATTCTTGAGAAGTGAGGAAATATAGTCTACAAGTTGATTTCATGTAATGAAATTTTTAAAAAGTCCAAGTTTGGGGACGCCTGGGTGGCTCAGTCGGTTGAGCGTCTGCCTTCGGCTCGGGTCATGATCCCAGGGTCCTGGGATCGAGTCCCGCATCGGGCTCCCTGCTCCGCGGGGAGCCTGCTTCTCCCTCTGCCTCTGTCTCTCATGAATAAATAAATAAAATCTTAAAAAAAAAAAAAAGTCCAAGTTTAAGAAATGTTGAGGTAGGAAATGTTATTCCTTGCAAACTCTGAAAGAAGCATCATTTGGTTTTGATTTTCTAGTTTTCTTTTTGGGCCATGTTTCCCCTGGGTTTTAGCCTCAAGAACACATGGAAAGTGGTTTTTAAAACCAAAGTTATTCCAAAATAAAATGTTTATTGAAGAATAACTCCTGAGCTCCAGGGCCTTCCTCTTCTCCTTTGCAGTTCTCCCTGATACAGTACTCCAACTACCTGAAGATCCACTTCACCTTCACCCAATTCCAGAGCAGCTTGAGCCCTCAGAGCCTGGTGGATCCCATCGTCCAACTGGATGGCCTGACATTTACAGCCACGGGCATCCTGACAGTGGTGTAAGTTTCCCCTTCTGCCTCATGTGGATAAGCTGCCACAGCACTTCCTCATGCTGGTCTGCACAGCCCTTCTGCAGGGCTGTGGGAAATCTGGGGAAAGGGGCTCAAAAGGGAAGTGAAGGGGCTGTAGGTGGAGACTTCCCTGGAATGTTCTCTTCATATAGGACAGCACTCCTCTGCAGTGTTTCCTCTTTGCCTGGCTTGGGATTGGCTGGACCCTGAGTCCAACTAGGGAAGCCAGAGACATGGGCTTTGGTTCAGACATACCCGAGTTCTCATTCTGGCTCCCTGCTGGTGACCTGGGCCACCCTGGGATTTACTGACTCTAAGTCTCAGCAAACTGTTAAGTGAGGATAAACTTACAACTTGGTTTTAAGAATTAAAGGAGATAACATGCATGCAATGCTTCTGCACCAGAAGTGCTAGATAAGTGGTTGGTGTTTTATCCAGAGAATGGTGCACTCACGTTTTACCTCCCTGGCAGAGACTTGGGAATTGTTGCCAAGTGTTTTCTTTGCGTCTCTCTCCTCACTCATTTCCCTCTCTTCCCACATTCCTCATCCATATGAACTCTGCATTAACTGGGTGCTTACCATGTATGTGCCTGACCAGCTAGGACGACCATAAAGAAATGACTTAGGTGGTGGGGCCAGAACAGAAGATGTGGTTCTTATGGGAAAGAAATAGGCTAACTGTCTGGGATTTTCAACTTCCTGTGCACCCCTGGGTGCCACTCTGGGGATGGTACTGGAGAAATGCTGAATAAAGGATGCTCCTGCCAAATGTAACCTCTTTACTGCTGGGTGGCTTTTCTGCCTTGAACACTGGCCGCATGGGACTGGACAACCAAGAGGAATGCCTCTGTCCCTTGAATTGAAAGTCACACAGGAGCGGCATTCCTTCTAGCCCTTGGAACTCCTCCCAGTGGTGGGTGACGGTGTGGTTCTCCTCAACACCCATTCTGCTCCCCTCACCCAGAACAGCAGCTTCCCCACTCCCCAGAACCAAAGCCATCTCAGGGCTTCTCTGCCACTGTTTGTTTTTTGTTTTTTTCTTTTTAGAAGTTTCATTACAAAAAAAGATAAAAAATTGCAATAACATTAAGGAGATTTTTGGAAAAATATTACAGTCCCTCTACCAACCACCTCACAGTATTTTAGCAAAAAGAAAGGATAAAAACCAATGAATAAACAAATCCCACCCACAAAGAACAGGGCCATTTCCATCCTTGTTTTTATTCAGACATATTTCATATAGTCACAATGTGGGCAGAAACAAGTTTCGTCCTGCCTTTTTTTTTCATCTACTACATGAACCTGTGCCATGTTTCTCTACAGCTTTTACTGTTTTCCTTTGAAATGGCTCTGTACTTTCTTACAAAGCAGGTGGATCATGATTTGCTAAACCCCTTCCCTGATCTTGGACATTTAGCTTGTTTCCAGTATTATATGTTGAGTATGTGTGTGTGTGTGTGTGTGTGTTTATTCTGCATTTATAGAACTATATGAGCATATAGTTACATTTTTAATCATTTGTAATAGCTACCACAGAATTAATGCTTACCTTTGGCCATTCACTGTTTTAAAGGCTTTCCCTCATTTGATCCTCAAAATAACCTCTTATGATTTATCTCATTTATCTATTGTTGCCTAAAAAACCACTCCCAAATTTAGTGGCTTAAGCAACAACTCTTTTATTAATATTTTTCGTGATTTGGGACTCATCTGTTTTCAGAAGCTGGAACATGAGAGATTCATTCACATGGTCCTGCCTGGGCAGGACTCGCTGGAAGGCTGGGTTCAGCTGGGATGGAGGAGCCTTCCTCTCCATAGCTATAGAAGCTACAGAAGTCTTGAGCTATAGACTTCCCTCATGGTGGCTCAGGGCTTCCCAAAATGAAAGAGCTAACAAGGCTTCTTAGGCCCATAATTGGCATGGTGTCACTTCCATTTCATGCTACTGCTGAAACTGGTCACAGGTCAGACTCAATATGGGAAGGGAACCAGGTGTGGCACACTGGGGGTCCTCTTTGAAGAACAGCTATGGTACAATTATTATTCTCACCTTCACAGAGAGAAACAGAGGCTCAAAGAGGTAAAGCAACTGTCCAAGTCTGTCAGACTGTAAAGTTCCTACTCTGAACCATACTGCCTCCTGGAAATGAGGTTCCATGGTAGATGGAATTATAGAAAAAGGAATATGAGTACCTTTATTATTGATCTTACTAATCATTGCATGACTTTCAAAAAAGGTTGAGGCAATTTTTTTTTAAACATGGCTGACACAGTCTGATGGTACCAGGACTCCCCAATCTCTCCATATGAGCTTCTACTGCTACAGATTATTTCTTTCCAGAATCAATTTCATCTACAGAGAGTCATCTCCCTTTCTTCCTTGACAGGAAAGAACTATTTCATAGTAAGAATGGGGCCCGTAAAAGTGCCAAGAAGATCCTCATTGTCATCACAGATGGGCAGAAATACAGAGACCCCCTGGAGTACAGAGATGTCATCCCTCAGGCAGAGAGAGCTGGCATCATTCGCTATGCCATTGGGGTATGTCCTTTTCCTCATGTCACCCTCAGACTCAGGCTCAACCTCACCCAGGCAGAAAGGCTGGTGGGCTCCTCCTCAGCTGTCTCTCTGCCACAGGTGGGAAATGCTTTCCAGGAACCCACTGCCAGGCAGGAGCTGAACACCATTGGCTCAGTGCCCTCTCAAGACCACGTGTTCAGGGTGGACAACTTTGGGGCACTCAGCAGCATCCAGGAGCAGCTGCAAGAGAAGATCTTTGCAGTTGAGGGTAAATGCAGGGCGAGCTTGGGTCTTGGAATAGAAAGGTTCTGGACCCAGTTGTTCCCTGAAGTTCTGAGAGGCCATCCTTATTCACAGCTCACCCAAAATTGTGCCCCAGAACCTGAGCTTCAGATTCATTCTTCTCCTTCTGCTCTGAGTCCTTGTGGTCTCATGGCCCCCAGAGCCTAAATGACCTGTTTCCCCACAGGAACCCAGTCGAGGACAAGTAGCTCCTTCCAACATGAGATGTCACAAGAAGGCTTCAGTTCAGTACTCACAATGGTGGGTGGAACACGTACTTGATAAACAGGTCTCAGGCACCAATCCTGGGCCAACCCTGTGCTGGGAGTTGGGACGCAGAAGTAAATAAGAAAGCAGATTCTGTCTTCAATGTCACTGTCTGTTTGGAGAGAGGCATATAGGCAGTGTATGTAGGTGGTAGGAGCATAGCAGAGAACAGGATAGCCACAACTCCTGCTCTCATAGGGCACATATCCAGTGGGAGGAGACAACAAACAACAAAAAATATCTTCAGATTGTGCTAGGCATTAGGGTAGAGCAAGACAGGTGCTCAGAGGAGGCCTGAGGAGTGACAACTGAGGCTGAATGATGAGAAAAGGCCAGCCCTGGAAAAATCTGGGAGAGATCGCTCCAGGTAGAGGAAAAAGCAAGTGCAAAGGTCTTGAGGCATGAACATGGTTACTGCACTAGAGAGATAGAAGGGCCAGCATAGCTGGAGCAGAGTGAGAGAGGGGGGTGGAAAGATGGGAAAGACCAGATCATGCAGATAAAAGAAATAACAATATAGTGTGACTTGTGTGCGAGTCAATGTGTGCTCAAAATATCCAGAGGGATTTGCTTCAAAGTAATTTTGGGGGTGAGGAGGGGGGACATAGAAATGAAACAAGGTTGGTCATGAATTGATCACTGAAGCTGGCTCACGGGTACTTGGGAGTTCATTATGCATTTCTTTCTACTTTTGTATATGTTCTAAATTATCCATAATCAAAAGTTTAGAAAGGCAATAAAAAAGTATGCAGAGTAGGAAATGCCTATCACTCCCTGAGGGAGCCAACGAAGACCTCACAGAGGAGGTGAGTTTGAGGTTGACTCTTCCTGAGAGAGGAGTTGAGTCTTAGAAAGAGAGAAGAGAGAGGTGTCCAGGTCAAAAGCTTCATGTGTTTAAACATAGGGTAACTCCACAGGTTTGACTGGAGAGGACCCTAGATTCCATCCTCAGGGGCTTGGTGGCAGGGAGCCATGTTGGATTGCCAGCAGGGTGATGGCTATATGTTTGTTGGTTCTGAGGAAACCTACTCTGGGGTACTGGAGGATGGAGCAGAAAGGAGCCAGCTAGGAGGCAGAAAGGGCAGTGGATGAGAACAGTTGGGACTTACCGGAACAGTGGCACTGGGGATGGCTGAGAGACATTAGGAGTGAGGGACACTGAAGTTGCTGAAGAGGACTGGGGAGGGAGAAAGAGAATGCCAAATAATGAGCAGAGTCAGTGGCAGGCATTGCTTTGGAATAGGCTGTCTTCTTTTGGGTCAGGCCTGCTCAGCCCTGGAATCCTTTCCTCCCAGGATGGACCAGTTCTGGGGGCTGTGGGGAGCTTCAGCTGGTCTGGAGGTGCCTTCCTGTACACCCAAAATATGAGCCGCACTTTCATCAACATGTCTCAAGAGAATGTGGACATGAGGGACTCTTACCTGGGTGAGAAAAGGCTGTGGCTGGGGGCACAGGTGGGACATGAGCTGCCTGGGAAGGGCAGGAGCTCAGGGGTGGGGAGGAAGCCTTTGTGCTGAGGCCTGCCCTCCTCAGGTTACTCCACTGAGCTGGCTCTTTGGAAGGGGGTCCAGAGCCTGATCCTGGGGGCCCCCCGCCATCAACATACCGGGAAAGCTGTCATCTTCACCCAGGCATCTGGGCAATGGAGGCCGAAGGCTGAAGTTGCAGGGACTCAGGTTGGGTGTTGAGGAAGCCAAAGTGGAACATGAAGGTGGCAGGGTCTCCAGGGGCAGAGGGGGAGGAGATGAAGGGGTTTGGAAGCCTGTGGGGGGAAGGTCCTGGTGGCTGGGGAGAAGTGGGTCCTGTCCCAGAAGGGGGTGCCTCTGGCAGGGGCAGGCAGGATGACTTCAGGCTCTGCCTTGCAGATTGGCTCTTACTTTGGGGCCTCCCTCTGCACTGTGGATGTGGATGGAGATGGCAGCTCTGACCTTGTCCTCATCGGGGCTCCCCATTACTACAAGCCGACCCGGGGGGGCCAGGTGTCTGTGTGCCCCTTGCCCCAGGGGGTGAGTGTCTGATGAGAGCTGGGCTGGGTGAGGCCTGGGTGTGGGGTGGAGGGATTGCCTGGGTTGGGACCTGACACTGGTTTTGTTCTGCAGAGGGCTAAGTGGCAGTGTGAGGTCATTCTCTGTGGGGAGCAGGGCCACCCGTGGGGCCGCTTTGGGGCAGCCCTGACAGTGCTGGGGGATGTGAATGGGGACAAGCTGACAGACGTGGCCATCGGGGCCCCAGGAGAGCAGGAGAGCCGGGGTGCTGTCTACCTATTTCATGGAACCTCAGGACTGGGCATCAACCCCTCCCACAGACAGGTGAGACCCCTGTCTGCAGCCTCTCCCAGTTCCATCTCCTTTTCTATGTCTCAGATTTGCCTGATGCCCTGTCTTGTCACTGACCTTAACAGTAGCCATGCTTCTTTTAGGGGTTTAGTGCCCTGAATGTCACCAGGCCCAGCTAAGTGCAAAGTATCTCTCCTTTCTCCTTTGGCTCCAAACAGACTTCAGTGTGTGGGCAGCTTAGTGGTTAAGAGATTGCAGGGCCTGGGTCAAATGCCTGTCCAGCCATGTCAGCTGTGTGGCCTTAGGCAAGTGACTGATTTAGCCTCTGAGAGCCTTAGTTTCCTTCTATGAAACATTAAATGAAGGAGCTCTATGTCTGGGGTCCCTGGGGTCTCACTATGCTTGCTTTCCATTCCTGCCCTCTCATCTCTCCTTTTCAATTTTTCCATTCAGATCTGCTTTCACTGCAGTTTCCTTTCCAAATCTTTCTTCTCAAACCTTTCAGATGCCCTCCCCTTGACTTCCGCTTTTCCTTTTCCTCTCTGGCCAGCGGATCGCAGGCTCCCGGCTCTCTCCCACACTCCAGTATTTTGGGCAGTCACTGAGTGGGGGTCAGGACCTCACCCAGGATGGACTGGTGGACCTGGCTGTGGGGGCCCGGGGACAGGTGCTGCTGCTCAGGTGACAACTCCTCACATCCCACCCTTGCCCACTGTGTGTCCATTCAACAAGCTTCCCCCTCCCTTGTCCTCCTCTCCGGGGCCAGAGTCAGGTCCTCAGCCCCTGTGTGCACCCTCAGGAGTCGGCCAGTGCTGAATGTGGGGGTGGCTATGAGATTCATGCCCTCGGAGGTGGCAAAGGCTGTGTACCAGTGCTGGGGAGACGTGCCATCCACCCTGGAAGCTGCGAGTGCCACAGTCTGTCTCTCTATCCACAAAAGCTCACTGGACCAACTAGGTGAGTTCTTCCCAGTGGACCCAGCACCTTATCCCCCTTGAGGCCCCCAACCCTATCCTCAGGAGGAAATGAGCCCAGGGATCCAGATACCACTTGCATATCCACTCACCTGCCAGTGTTGGAAACCCCGGGTCCCTTCTCTTCCCCTCTCCCCACACCCAGGCCAATAGGCTCTAAGTCCAGGATACAATCTGGAATCTTCCCACTTCTCTCCACCCGCTCCAGCCACTGCCTACCTTGAAGCCACCACTTCTCTTTCCTACCTATACTTTGAGCTGTTTCCATGTCTGTTCTTGCAGCCTGCCATCCTTTCTCCGTAGAGAAACTAGAGGGATCGGTCCTAAAACACAAATCTGGTCTCCTCACTTGCCTGCTTAACCACCCCGCAACCTCTCCTTTCTTCCATTTATAAAGACCAAAATCCTTCTCTACAATGCCCTTGCTGACTTTGCTCCTCCCCGCCCTTCCAACCTCACCTCATCGCACTCTCCCTTTATGTAAATGTGCCATCCTCCCTCTCCCTTCTGGTCTTAGCCATTGTTCTCATGGTCTGGGACTTCCCCCCCCCCATTCTTCACCAACCTTTGCTCATCCTCCAGGTTGGGGCTCAGACAAGGCCCACCCAGGAAGGCATTTCTGAGCCCAGGTCTGAATTAGCAAGCCCTCCTTGGTACTACTGAGGATCCCACCATTGGGTTGATTGTGCTGGGGGATTATGGCCTGCATGCTTGTCTCTCTTCCTAGACGGAGAGCTTTATGACAGCAGGGACCATATTTCTCTATCTTCTTCTCCACACATATCCTAACACCTGATACAGCTCATGGCCCATAGGAAGTGCTCAGCAAATGTTTGTTGCATAAATAAACAAAAGCAGAACATTTGAGGTTCTCTTGGACTTTTCATCTTCTGTTCCTCCCTTCTGCTTCAGGTGATGTCCAAAGCTCCATCAGGTATGATCTGGCATTGGACCCAGGCCGTCTGATTTCTCGTGCCATTTTTGATGAGACCAAGAACAGGACTTTGACTCGAAGAAAAACCCTGGGGATGGGAGATTACTGTGAAACCATTAAGCTGCTTTTACCAGTAAGGACTTCGGGTTCTGGGAAAGGGAGGGGGAGAAGGAGCCCAAGGTGAGCCTCTGGCACCTCTGCTCCCTGTTGAGTGAGGGGAAGAGGGTGGGGATATTGGGGCTGGAGAGAGGAAAGTTGAGGCCAGAGAACCTGACTCCACAGCTAGGACAGAATGCTGTCCCAACAGCAGGGAATGGATGTAGTTGAGCAGAAGGGCCAGTGGTGGAAAGTAACGAGAAGGGTAGTGGGTTCTTGAAAGCCCATTCTCCCTCAGGACTGTGTGGAGGATGTGGTGAATCCCATCATCCTACGCCTCAACTTCTCCTTGGTGGGGGAGCCCATCCCCTCATCTCAGAACCTTCGCCCTGTGCTGGCTGTGGGCTCACAGGACCTCTTCACTGCTTCTGTGAGTCTTCCAATGAAATCCCAGGGATGTACTGATTTTCACTGTGTCTCTGTGTCTTAAGAACCTATTGTGGTTCTCAACTTTCCATCAACCACATTAAGTCCATAATGCCTCCACCCAGTTACCAAGGCCCTGCCTAGCTTGGACTCTTACACACATCCCAGATGGTCACCACTTTACCTCAACATAAGCTCTCTGATTCTCATTCTCCAAATCCTTCCCAATGTCTGTCATTCCTTCCTCTGTTTCTTTGTCCATGTTGTAGTTCCTACTTGGAAAACATTTCCTTCTCTCCACCTCAAAGATCCTTTCTAGTTCTCTAAGCCCCAGTCTCATCTTCCCCCCTTTTGGAAATCATATTCAGCATCTCTCTCTTCTTCTCTGGCTTCCTATTACATCATAGTGATACCAAATATTACATGACTGGAATCATAGCAATCGGCATCTACTTTTGTGGCTCTCTGGGAATTGTGGGTTCTGTGAGTACAAGAGCCATGTCTAATTCACCTGTAGTTTCCACTTTTCCTAACTCCTCACCCAACCCAGAACCTGTCCCTTATTGACACTTGATAATGTTTGTCGAATAATTGTTCCAATGTGAGTTGGATTTAACTCCTCAACTAAACTTTATGCTCCTTGAAGCCAAGGATCTTATCATTCTGCCCCTCCCTTACTGCCCCACTTCTTGACAGTGTCTAGGACAGTGTTGGTGTGGGGTGGGTGCTCAGTAATATTCAATAATGAGCACTCAAGATGAGCGCTCCTAATGAGGGGAATGGAGAAAGATTAAGACATGGATGGGAAGAGAATTTACTGTTTTTCTGCAGCTCCCTTTTGAGAAGAACTGTGGACAAGATCACCTCTGTGAAGGGGACCTGAGTATCAATCTCAGCTTCTCAGGGTGAGCTCTAACTCCTTTCATTTCTAGACACTTAAGCTTTTGGGTCTCTCATCCGCATGGGATGAGAAATGCTTATGTTTCCCTTTGGCTCTCCTTCTAACAAAGAAATTAAATTTTGATTGGAATGTTATCAGTTCATGAGTTCCCACATTCCTGCCCCTACCCTTGATCCAATTCCAACCTATTTCCAGCAGAGTCTCTTTTTCAGTTTTGTCCTTCCTCCTCCAGCCTGCAGACCCTGGTGGTAGGGAGCTCCCTGGAGCTTAATGTGACAGTGACTCTGTGGAATGAGGGTGAGGATTCCTATGGTACTGTGATCCACTTCTACTACCCAGCAGGGCTGTCCTACCGACGAGTGCTAGGAACCCAGGTAAATAGCTTCCTTGTTCTCTAATGGCCTCTTCCCTGCCCTGGGTTATAGTAGGTTCTTTTAATTCTTTTATGATGACATGTAAACACAGATACACACAATTCTGAAGGGGAGAGAGAGAGAGAGAGAGAGAGGTGCATAAAGCAGATGTATAGTTTAATGGATAATATTAAACAGATAGCATATAGCGTCCAGGTCAAGAAATAATACACTGCTAGCACCCCCAGAAGTTCTCCCTCCATGTTCATTTCCTCATCAAAACCTCACTCTCTCCCCAAGGTAACCAGTATTCTAACTTCGTGATAATCAATTCCTTGTATATTTTATGGTTTTACCACCCATGAGCACATCCTTAGAAAAAACTGTTGAGTTTTGTCAATATTTGAAATTTATAGAAACATGTTATATGTTCTTTTGTATATTTATTCATTTCTTCAGCATATGTTTGTGAAATTCATCCATGTTGTTGCTTCTGGATGTAGAACATTTTTATTGTATATAAAATCCCTTTGTATGACCATACCACAATTTATTTACCCATTTCACATTTTAAAAAAATGTTTTTATTTAATTTCCAGGTACTTAACATATAGTGTCATATTGGTTTCAGGAGGTAATTCATCCCGTACTTATAACACCCAGTGCTCATCACAAGTCCCTCCTTAATATCCATCACCCATTTAGCCCATCCTCTGTCCACCTCCCCTCCAGGAACCCTCAGTGTGTTCTCTATAGTTGAGTCTCTTATGGTTTGCCTCCCTCTCTTTTTTTCCCTTCCCTTATGTTCATCTGTTTTGTTTCTTAATTCCACATGTGAGTGAAATCATATGGCATTTATCATTGACTGACTGACTTATTTCACTTAGCATAATACCTTTGCAAATGGCAAGATTTCATTATTTTTGATGGTGGAGTAATGTTCCATTGTATATGTATACCACATCTTCCTTATCCATTCATTACTCAATGGACATTGGGGCTCTTTCCATAGTTAGGCTTTTGAATTTAATGCTGCTATAAACATTGGGGTGCATGTGCCTCTTTTAATCACTATTTTTGTGTTCTTTGGGTAAATGCCTCTAGTGCAATTGCTGAGTCATAGGGTAGTTCTATTTCCTAACTTTTCAAGGAAGCTCCATACTGTTCTCCAGAGTGGCTGCACCAGTTTGCATTCCCACCAACAGTGTAGGAGGGTTCCCCTTTCTCTGCATCATTGCCAACACCTGTTGTTTCTTGTGTTGTTAATGTTAGCCGTTCTGACAGGTATGAGGTGATATCTCAATGTAGTTTTGATTTGTATTTCCCTGATGATGAGTGATGATGAGGATGTTTTCATGTGTCTGTTAGCCATCTTTATGTCTTCTTTGGAAAAATGTCTGTTCCTGTCTTCTGCCCATTTCTTAACGGGATTATTTATTTTTTGGTTGTTAAATTTGGTAAGTTCTTCTAGAACTAATGATGTAATGTATGGGGATTAACATAAGAATAAAAAAAATGTGCAAAAAAAAAATTTGGTAAGTTCTTTATAGATTTTGGTTACTAACACTTTATATGTCATTTTCAAATATCCTCTCCCATACCATTGGTTACCTTTTTGTCTTGTTGATTGTTTTCTTCATTGTGCAGAAACTTTTCATCTTGATGAAGTCCCAAAAGTTCACTTTGGTTTTGTTTCCCTTGCCCCCAGAGATGTGTCTTGTAAGAAGTTGCTACAGCCGAGGTCAAATAGGTTCCTGCCTGTATTCTTCTCTAGGATTTTGATGGTTTCCTGTCTCACATTTAGGTCTTTATTCCATTTTGAATTTATTTTTTTGTATGTTGTATGAAAGTGGTCCAGTTTCATTCTTCTGCCTGTGGCTGTCCAATTTTCCCAACACCATTTGTTAAAGAGACTGTCTTTTTTCCATTGGATTTTCTTTTCTGTTTTATCAAGGATTAGTTGACCATATAGTTGTGGGTCCATTTCTGGGCTTTCTTTTCTGTTTCATTGATCTATGTGTCTATTTTAGTGCCAGGATCATACTGTCTTGATAACTACAGCTTTGTAATATAGCTTGAAGTCTGGATTGTGATGCCTCCAGCTTTTCTCTTCTTCAAGATTGCTTTGGCTATTTGGGGTCTTTTCTGGTTCCATACAAATTTTAGGTTTGTTTGTTCTAGCTCTGTGAAGAATGCTGGTGGTATTTTGATAAGGATTGCATTTTTGTGTAGATTGCTTTGGGGAGTATGGACATTTTAACAATATTTTTATTCCAACCCATGAGCATGAAATATTTTTCCCTTTCTTTGTGTCCTCTTCAATTTTTTTCATCAGTGCTCAGTTTTTGCAGAGTATAGATCCCTTACCTCTTTGGTTAACTTTATTTGTAGGTATCTTTTGGTTTTTCGTGCAATTTTAAATGGGATCAATTTCTTGATTTCTCACTCTGCTGCTTCATTATTGGTGTATAGAAATGCAACAGAGGTGGGGCAGGGGATGGGGTAACTAGGTGATGGACATTAAAGACGGCATGTGATATGATGAGCACTTGGTGATATACTCGACTAATGAATATTGAACATTATATCAAAAACTAATGATGTACTATACCTTGGCTAATTGAATCTTAATAAATAAAAATAAAATAAAACAAAACAATAAAAAATGCAACAGATTTATGTACATTGATTTTATATCCTGTGACTTTGCTGAATTTGTGTATCTGTTCCAGTAACTTTTTTGTGGAGTCTTTTGGATTTTTACATAGCATATCATATCCTCTGTGAATAGTGAAAGCTTGACTTCTTGCAATTTGGATGCCTTTTATTTATTTTTGTTGTTTGATTATTGAGGCTAGGACTCCAGTACTATGTTAAACAACAATGGTGTGAGTGGACATCTACCACACTACAACTCGTGATCATTTGAGTTGTTCCCTGATTTTGGCCATGACTATTCTTGAGCATGTATATTGGTGCACCTACGCATAATATTTGCAAGGTATTCGCCACATATGGCATTGCTGGATCTTAGGTTTCTGTATCTTCAAGTATAATAATTTGCACATCCATCAGCAGATTATTAGAGTTCCTGTGACTTTCTATCCACTGCAACACTTGGCATTGTCAGACTTTTAAATTTTTGTCCATCTGGTGATATTTCCTTATAGTTTTAATTTGAATTTCCTTACAGGTTTAATTTGCATTTCTTTAATAAATTTGAACAACCTTTCATCTATTTCCTGGTCATTTTAATTTCTTCTTTTGGGAAGTGCCTGTGCAAATTTTTTTCTTATTCTTCTATTGAGTTGTCCATACTTTTATTTTCTTTTAACTTTTTATTTGAAATCAATTTAGTTCACATATATTGTATTATTAGTTTCAGGGGTATAATTTAGAGATTCATCAGTTGCATATTACACCTATATTACATCAAGTTCCCTCCTTAATGCACATCACCTAATTACCCCATCCCCCCACCCACATACTTTTCTTAATTGTAAGAGTTCTTTAATATTCTGGTTATCAGACTTTTCCAGTTATATGTGTTCAGATATATTTTCCAGTCCTATTGCATGTCTCTTCAGGCTCTTTAGAGTGTCTTTTAATAAGCCAAATGTGTTCATTTGATTGTGGTTGATTTTTACCAAAACTTCCTATATGTTTAGTGTTTTATGTGCTGATCATGTTTAAGAAATACTTCCCTACTCCAAGGTTATGAAGATATTCCCCTTTATTACCTTTTAAGAGCTTAATAATTTTGCTTTTTCACCTGAAATCTTTAATCCAGTTGGAATCTATTGTAATTATGGAGTGAGGTAGGGATTCAATGTTTTTTGTTTTTCTGTTTGCTTGATTTTTTTTGTATGGGCCAGTTTTCCTAGGATTATTTATTGAAAAGTCTGTCCTTTCTCCCACTGCTCCACAATGCCACCAATGTTATATATCAAGCCCATATATGCACATGGGTAACATTTTTGAATTAGTTTTCCTCCCCTGGAAGCCACCCCATCAGCGCCCACTCCGCTTGGCATGTGAGGGAGTGCCCACTGGGAACAAGGGCCTGAAGAGCAGCAGCTGTAACATCAACCATCCCATCTTCCAAGAGGACACCAAGGTGAGTGCCTCCCCCCAGATCCTCATCACTCTCCACCCTTGTCACGACCCATTTCTTTCCCTTACTCCTCCATGACCTTCCTTATTCCCATTCCTTCTTTCTTCTTCTCTCAGGGCACCTTCATAGTCACATTTGATGTCTCCTACAAGGCCACCCTGGGCAACAAGTTGCTTCTGAAGGCCAATGCAAGCAGGTGAGGCGAGGTGTATCCCTCACTCTTTCATCTCATGCCCCAGCCAGAGATTTCTCTCCTGGATTCCTTCCCAATGAGGCTCCCCTCCCTCTCTCTCTCTCTCCCTCTCTCTCTAGTGAGAATAATAAGCCTACAACCAACAAGACCACCTTTCATCTGGAGCTCCCAGTGAGATATGCTGTCTACATGGTGATCAGCAGGTCTGGACCTTTGACTCTTCTATAATCCTAGTACCTCCCCTTGAAGCCCAGGATCTTTGAAGGATAGGTATCTGAACTAGCCCTCTAATTCCTCACATGGGAATACTTGTGCCCAGTCATATATTTATGCCATAATAACATACACGATATACTTCTTGCTTCTTCTCTGATGAACTGACCTACTGGTGGGACACACACACTTTGCCACCACTCTGCACTCCTCCCTCTCTCTCCAAGGTGCAGGCCTCCTTAAACATGAAGCCAATTCTATTCTTCATGCAAATATGAGTGTGTTGAAGTGAAACTAACTAGATTAAGATTGAGGCTTTTATGAGCTCTCTGAGCTCTCTGTGTGGTTTGTCACCACACAGAGGAAAGAAAAGGTCAAGGTTTCACAAAACAAAGAGGAGGCCAGAGATGTGACAAACTGCTGGGAAAGTCTCTACGAGTCCAAGGCTGTGGCAGGCCACAGGAAAGTCAAGTGCAGGGCTGTTGCTCTCAGTTCGGAAGGTGGGTGGTGGAGCAGGGGCAGGCCAGGCTGGAAGCAGGGCAAGGAGACCCACATAACCTGGCTAAACTCCAGAGGTGTAGGGAGGTGGTCAAAAGCTTATAATATTGCCATGGGACAGAGTTTGCTACTGTTGTTGCTGCTGATGACACATGAATTTTTAGGGGAACTAGGGAGGGAGGATCAAACAGTGTCATTGCCCTTCCAAACTCCATGTATGAATTTCCCCTACTGTCCATGGGAAAATAGTGGAACTTATATTAAGAGCTTACAGTTATATATACTTATGATATGCCAGGCATTTAAAAAGTACTTTACATGTATTTACATTCATTTAATCCTTCTAAAAACTCTGTGATTTAGTTATTGTTAAACCCCCTTTTCTACCAACAAAGAAATCAAGAGGTTGTTCCTCTCAGTCAGCTGCTAAGTGGCAGAACCAGGACTCAAAGTCAGATGGTCTGGCTCTAGAGGTTGTGCTCATGCCCATACACTGCTATGCCATTCCAAGGATTGGGGAAGCCGAGTGATTTACTCAAATTTGAAAAGAGAGTTAGAACTGGAAGATTTTAAGGTGAGAAAACTGAAGCATAGAAAGGGTTGGAGTGAGGAACATAAAGGCTAGCACAGTAAGGGAAAAAAAATAAATTCTAACATTTATATCATTGCTGCAGACTTCATCACAACTCTGTCACAGGCATGATCATTAGCATCCTCATTTTATACAGGAAGAATCCACAGAGGTTAAGTAACTTACCTTAAGTTACTTGGGTAGAAAGTGGTAGACTGAAATGTGAACCCAGATGGTCTGGCTCCAAGCCTGTGTTGTTAATCATCACACTGACAGTCACATCTGTGGGAAACTGTGGGGGGCCCATGGAGTTTCTGTATGGCTGCCCTGGCTTCTGTACACTAGGTGCTGGTGAAATGTGCAGCACCCCTGCTTGTTTGCTTGATTCCACTGAGACCTTAGATGTTAACTCTGGGAAGGCAGGGATTATGGTTTGGTAACTGTTGAATCCCCGGAGCCAAGCACACAGCCAGGTATAGGGTAAATTCTTACTGAAGGAGGCAATGCATAGATGGATGGATGGATGGATGGATGGATGGGTGGATGGATGGAAAGCCACCTGAAGCCTGGTGAACATTTATGTCCACTCCAGGGGCTTGTGTTCATGCACCATCCTTCCTCACATTTACTTAACTGCCCCAGGATAGCCACATCTCTTTTCTTCACTCCATCATGGAGGGGCTTGCACTGCATTTTTTCCCGGGTGATCCAACCATGATTTCCTCGAATCCCTTTAGGCTTATTTGTTCTGGCAACAGCCTCTGTAAGCATTGCTGGAGGCCAACAATATACCTAGTAAAGGAGAAAGCCGTGTGAACACCTTTTTCCCATGGGAAAATGTGTAAATGTTATGAGAGGTAATGTTTAATTTGCGCCTTTAAGTAAAAATTTCCAAAAGGGGAGTGGTAAGGATGTTCCAAGCAAAAGAAAGAACTTGAACAAAGCTATGGGGGTGTGAAAGAGCCAGGGTATCCAAGGACAAGCTAGCAGTTCTGGGTGACTGGGGCAAATGTTATAGAGAGGAGCTGAAGCTGAGGCTGCAGAAGCATGTGGGGATCATAACTATTTCACGGGATCATCTGCCAGGAGGCCCAATAGAGCCCTTAGCAGCAGACCGGGGCACAACTGAGGATGGCTCCAGGGCTGTTTCTCACCAACAAGCCCTCTCTCTCCAGGAAGGAAGAGTCTACCAAGTACTTCAACTTTTCAACTTCTGATGAGAAGAGCAAGAAAGAAGCTGAGCATCATTATCGTGTGAGAAGCCAGGGAGCATCCATATCTTCCCTCCCATGGTGCTGCTAATGTTGGGAGCTGGTGGGAGAGAGAAAGAGGAGCTGAGGGCTAGATCCAGGAAAGAAGTAGGATTTGGGATGCTCCCAGGACCACAATAATGTTCTGTCTCAATTTTCTGCAGGTGAATAACCTGAGTCAGCGAGATGTGGCCATCAGCATTAATTTCTGGGTTCCTATCCTGCTGAATGGTGTGGCTGTGTGGGATGTGGCTGTAGTGGCCCCTTCACAGGTATCTGCTTGCCTTTCTAACTCTCCAGAGTCTGATCCTACAGTGCCTCACACCCTCTTACCAGTGAAATGTTGATCATTCTGTGGCTATTTCTCTCTCTCACTAGAGTCTCCCCTGTGTGTCAGAGAGGGAACCTCCCCAGCATCCTGGCTTCCTGACCCAGATTCCAGGGAGTCTTGTACTGGTGAGAAAGACCCTGGATTCCCATTGCAGGACCAGCTGCCTATTGGGGGATATAGGGAAATGCACTTGCTAGGTTGGAGATCTATATATATGACCTATAATTGCTCATCTATTTCCCCCCCCCAAACCTGATGGACTTCATTTTCTCCTGTGGTTCTTGCCTAAGTTAAGACCCTCCTCAACTTCATTCCTCCCCTGTCCCTAGAACTGCTCCATTGCTGACTGCCTGAGGTTCCGCTGTGACCTCCCCTCCTTTGGCATCCAGGAGGAACTTGACTTCATCCTGAAGGGCAAACTCAACTTTGGCTGGGTCAGCCAGGTGTGTAGGCCCAACAGCAGAGTCCCTCCCCTGGATTTGGGTGGTACCAGATGTGTCTGTGCCCATCCTCAAGCCAGGAGATTTCTCAAACTCTGAGCCTCTTCCTAGGATATTTCCCCAGCTCTGTCCCTGTGTATTTCAGACATTGCAGAAGAAGGTATTGGTGATGACTGTGGCTGAAATCACATTCAATAGATCTGTGTATTCCCAGCTTCCAGGACAGGAGGCATTCTTGAGAGCTCAGGTGGGGACTATGTGGTAGGAGTGGCCAGGCTGGTAAGAGGGATCCTAATGCTAAATCTTTGGTGCTGTGTGGGAGGCTCAGAAGCCTAGAGGAAGGCAGGATGAAGGCCCCTCAGCAGGAGAGTTGTCCCTAAGTCCATAAGTGTTTCTGTATCTCACCCCTTGAGCAAAGGAAGGAGGGGAGGCCCTTAAAGGTTGGGGAACCTGGGAAGAGTCTGGAACAACAAGGAGTCTGATACTTTCTCATGCACAAATCAGACGGCGATGGTGCTTGAAGCGTATGAGGTCTATGATCCTATTCCCCTCATCGTGGGAAGCTCTGTGGGAGGACTGCTGCTCTTGGCTCTCATCACAGCCATCCTATACAAGGTGAGTGTCTTCATCCCACTCTCAACACTACCAGTATCTAACCCAAGCCCTTCCAGAGACAGGATGGTATAGTGGGAAGAACTCAGACAATGGAATCAGACAGGCCTGTGTGTACATTTTGGCTCTATTCTGCTCACTCTTTAATGTCAGGCAAATTGCTCAACTTCTCTGAGCTTGTCTCCTCATTTTTGAAATGACAGTAATGCCTACATTACAGAGTAGCTGAAGTGAGACAGACATGAAGCCAGGCTATGTGTGTAGGCCTGCCTATGAATTTATGCTTTTCTACTATAGCTTTTATGCATAACTGCTGTGCTTGCACACAGTAAATAATACATGATAGCTGTAATTCATATAAGTGTTCTGGCACACAAATATGAGTCAGCTTATTTCTCTTCTCGTCTTCTCTCTCAGCTTCTTCCTACTCCCAACTCTCTTCCCTGCCCTCTTACCCAGCTCTTCTGATTTACTTCCCTTCACAGCTTGGCTTCTTCCAACGTCAGTACAAAGAAATGCTGGACAACAAACCTGAAGACACTGCCACATTCAGTCAGGAGGATGTCAGCTGTGAGGCCCCAAATTTGCCTTTGTCCTAATAATTCACTTTTCTGTTTGTCTCTACCTCCATGGACTGGTCTTGCCTTTGCCTACAAATCTACGTCCATGGGAAAAATTTCTGTATAGCTCTGGACTGGTCTGAGCAACTTATCAAGTGCTAAGCCAACTTCTCAAGGCATTGAAAGGTTTTTATATTTTAACATATTTGTCAGTTCTTCAGTAATGACTCACTTTTTACAGAAGCAAACATGAAGCCAGCATGAATTTTCATATATATAAAGAATTGCCACATTAAATGAGGATGTTTATAACACATTCTTCTTGTATGAAAGAGCTCTAATTCAGGGACCTGAGTCCTGTTCTAGGAAGAGTTGGGGGAACCTGCTTGTGGGCCTAGAAAACATTCTCTCACTTTTTCAGGTGACTGAGGCTGATAATCTTTTCTTAATGGTGCTATGAATAATATTAGGGGAGAAGCCAAAGGAAGAACTCTAGTGTGTGTTGCTCATGGGGCTCAGCACAGGCTTCAGGCTCCTTGTTAATGGTAAATGAGCAGAATGTCCTAGGAGGGGAATGAAATGTCCTGAACATGTTTGAACCAATATCCCCCTTGAATGAGGTCCCCAAAGACTGGGAGAGCCAGGCTTCCAAAAAGGAGCATCTGATTTCCCAGACAATACAGAAGACCCATTAAATGTGGTCATAGAGAATGGCTGAAATATTCCAAATCCAAAATTAGGTCATGAAGCCTCACACATAGGGCTGTAGGTCCTCTGTTTGAAATCAAGGTTGTCTCCAGAAAACCAGAATTCACAAATATTGTCAGTGTGTCAGGCAAAAAGTTGTCTGCAGCCCTGAGTTCCCAGGGGACTTCTGAGGAGGGCCTCATTTAAGTCATTTAATCTCTGAGAATCTCAATTCCTCCTCTAGAGAATGGGAACTAAAATTATATCTTGCTCCCAGAGATACTGTGAGGATTCAGTGTTATGTGAAAGACCTTTACAGCCTAGAGCCCTAATTATTAATAGGTGAGGGAAAAGGAGTAGGGATGAAGATCTCCTACCTAGTCATCAAGGACATTCCCTCGAGCACCTCCCATATCATGGCCTTGGGAAGAGCAAGCAGAGCACAGACTGCACTGTGTGCCTGCGCCCAGTAGAGCTCTTCGGTCCCCACCCCACCCCCACAGTCCCCAGGGAGGCTGCAGACACACAGCTTCCACACCTTTATTGCACCTGGTGGCATCTGCCTGGGCCTCAGGGCTGTTCATAGCCAGTGGGCAGAGGGTTGACATGGGGATTGTGGAAAAGGGTGTGGTTACCGTCTCCCCAGGAGTAGGGCTGTGAAGAAAGGGAGAGAGGATTGTCAGCGTGGTCTGGGCCTGGGGGTTCCAAGCCCCCCCTCCCGCAACCTTTGCCCTTCTGATCCTCACTCCCGCCCTGGGGGCAGAGGCCTCAGGCCAACGTACCTTGGTGCGGATACGGAGGTGGTGATAGGGGATAAACTTGGGGCGTTCATGGTGGCCCGCGTGGAGCCAGGAGTTGAGGGTGCAGAGGGCCACGCTGGGCAGCGCCAGCACAAAGGTCAGGAGGCGCCAGGTGCTGGCTGCAGAAGGAGGGGATAAGCAGAGATGAAAGAGAAGTGGGGAGGCCAGGGCCTCTGAAGGTCAGAGTGGGAGGGTTGGTCAGTGGGGGTGTTGTCAGACCCTGGAAGGCCACACAGGCAGGAGAGGGGTACAGGTAGGCAAGCCACAGGGTCAGGTCCCAGCCCCACTCACCTCCTGCCCCTCCATGGTCTCTCTTTGCTGCACTTGCCAAGCCCCGACTCAAGGACTTCAGAGGCAGAGCCATTGCGGTGGGTGAGAGAAGCTGGAAACTGCACCGTCCTTTCGCTCTCCTTCACCGAGGCCTAGATTCTCCTCCCCTCTTTTTGAGCCAATCACCTGTTGAGTCTGTAACATGGGTGGCTATTTTTAGGGGTTTTCTATATTTAAAATGAGGCCTTACTGCCATGAGGTCCTTCTCTCCGGACAGCTGCTGTTTGGTACCTCTTATTTTGGTAAGGGACACTTAAAAAAACCAATGTGCCATTCTTTTTATAGTTGCAGGGAACTATTTCCTTCAATACTCTATTCCCAGTGGCTGGCACACAGTAGGTCTTTAATAACTATTTGTAGAATGAATTAAGTGTCCTTTTGAATCTCAGTTTTTTCATCTGTACAATGTATAACAATTTATACCTTAAATGGGTAGTTTATGAAATTTAAGTAAAGTAAGAGGAATATGCCAGCTTAGTGTCTGGCATGAAACAGTAGCTCAGTATATGTATTAGTTACAGTTCTTTGCAAAGAACATAACTCACTCTAATTGGTTTTAAAAAGATAAGCAATTCAAAATCAGGTAGCTCAAAGTGTCTCTGGTATGGCCAGAGAAGCCAATAATCTGTGCAGCCAGAAGCAAGCTAATCTATGGGCCAGCTGCCATGAGACACCACCACAATTTGCACTGCTGGACTCCAGATACCAAAAACTTCACCCATGCTGCTCTGGAAAGCCAGATTCTTCTACCCTAACATCCTTCTTCATGAAGCTTGCATCCTTGAGTTGATGTTTTCTGAATCAGAGAATCATGTGTGCCCCAGTTGACAATAGCTAGGTTATTGTCTATGCTCTAGCTTCAAGAAAGGCTGGGAAATTGAGTTCTGCCTTCTACATTAAGGAGGCAGGAATTCTATCTTGGGGAAAATCCCCAAGTATAAGAAAAGCATTCAAAAGATACTGGGTAGCCACAGACTTGACAAGTGTCTACTGCTAAGTATATTATTCAATCTGAAAAATCTGACTACTTGGAGGAAAAAGAAGAAAGCCTAGGGAGACCTGTATAAGCCCTTTATCAAAGTAGGTCACTAGAAAGCTACAAGATAGTGCAGGGCTAATTCCTGGCCTGGTGCACTGTTCTGTCCTCTGCACTAGCACAGAACCTGGCATGAAATAGTTGTTCTAAAAATATGTTTTTATTGAATGCTTCAACCATGTTACATTAGTTAACCCTATATAAATGCCTTTGCAGAACCATAATCCAACAGGATGCCTCCATCTTTGATCAGGACTGATT